GGCCCCTGTGGACATGGGGACTGAGGGGTGTCTAGGTAGGGTAGCCTGTCTGTCCCCTGTGGGCGTGGGGGCTGAGGGGTGTCCAGATAGGGTAGCCTGTCTGTCCCCCGTGGGCGTGGGGGCTGAGGGGTGTCCAGATAGGGTAGCCTGTCTGTCCCCCGTGGGCATGGGGGCTGAGGGGTGTCCAGATAGGGTAGCCCGTCTGTCCCCTGTGGGCGTGGGGGCTGAGGGGTGTCCAGATAGGGTAGCCCATCTGTCCCCTGTGGGCGTGGGGGCTGAGAGGTGCTCATTGTGCCAGGTAACCATCATTGTCGGGGAATCCCAGGATGTCATCCCCCAGTTAAAGAAGAAGTACGACATAGACACGCTAGACATGGTCTTCCTTGACCACTGGAAGGACTGCTATCTGCCGGACACGCTTCTCCTGGAGGTGAGCTGCCCGCCGGGTGGGCCTCAGTGCTGGTGGCACGGGGGCCCCTGGGGACGGAGGCCCTGGTTGAGCCTAAGGGCAGCCCTGGGGGGCACCGGTGTCTGGAGCTGTCTGGACAGAGCACGGAGGGCCAGAGGCGGCCCCCCAGGGCAGGCGGAGGTGGGAGGAACAGCTCTGGGCAGAGGGAGCCGGCCAGGGGTGCGCCGGGCCCTGTGCTGGGGAGGGGCGGGGTGAGCTCCTTGTCACACATTCCACTGCGCCCTTGATGAGCTGATGTGGAGTTTAATACCCATGATCATTAACTTGTCCCTCCTGGCAGGAGGGGACACTGAGAGGGATCCTCTGCAGGGGGCTCAAGACACACTGCCCCACCATGGCCTCCCTGCCCAGCAGCCCGCATGGCCTGTCCCATGCTCACCTGTCAGCCTCCCCCTGGGCTGGACACTCCCCAGTGCAGAGGGCCCCTGGGCACAGAGGCCACGGCTACCACAGCCATGGCTGGGCAGGACCTTACCCCAAGTGGTTCTGGTATGAGGGTGGAGGCCAGGCACCAGGGCCAGGAGGGCTGTCAGCGTGGGCATGGTGGGAGGGGGTTCCCACTGGCCTGGTGGGTGTGAGGGGGTGGAACATTCTGCAGGCAGTGGCCTAGAGCCAAGTACAGAGGGCCTCGGACGTCGCTCGGGGATGGGGGCACAGAGGGCTGTCTTGGGGGAAGGTCCCTGTTGGCTGCGTGGTGGGTGAGAGGGTGGCTGCAGGGAGGGCGGTGCACCGACCCAGCAAGCTCAGGGAGGCAGGAGAGGTGGAGAGGGAGGGGTCTGGGGACCAGCGGTGGACATGGGGACCTGCACTGGCCAAGGTGGGCCGGCAGTGTGGGGAGAGCAAGGGGACATGCAGGCCGCGGGCACAGTGGCTGCAGGGCAGGGTGTGGACCTGCAAGCAGGGACTGGGGGCAGAGACCAGGTGGCCGACCCGCTGGGCCTGCGCGGGGAGGGGGAGGATCCCAGCAGCTTTGGTGTGTGGTGATTGCAGGGGCCTGAATGTACAGAAAAGCAGTAAATATTGCCATTTAGCAACTAGGAAGCTAGTAGTTTTCTCTGTGCTGCTTGTTCAAAGCTGGTAATTATCTCAAAAGAAATCACGAATTGGGAACGGCTGTTCTTTTTAAATATGTTTGTGGGCCCCTGGCTGTGCTGGGGTCAAGGGCCAGCTGGGTTCTGCGGTGGCCCCACTGCACCTCCGTCAGGGCCAGGGGCTGGCAGGAGCACACGGTAATTCAAAGCATGATGGCTGCTCTGAGGAGGCCTCAGGCCCGCGTCACACGGCCTCTCCCACAGGGCCCGAGTGTCCTCGGAGCATGGCAGCTGCTCTCCCCAGGGCCACAGGGGAGCAGGGACCTGGCGCCACCTGCTGTTGTCTGTGCCTCCGCTTTGTCGGGAGTGGTCAGCAAGCCCAGTCCAACCCAGGACCGGTCCGAGGCCCTGCTTCATGGAGGGAGGGGCAAGCAGCCGTGGATGTGGCTTTAAACTACCTCAGGCACAGGCTGCCTGGTCTTCTGAGCGCTGCTTCCTCCCCCAGGCATCATGCTGCTGGCAGGAATTCTCCAGGGAGTCTGTGCCCCGTCGGAGGCCCGCAGTGTCTGAGGAGAGGCCGATAGGGCCCAGCCTCCTCCATGGGCAGGCCTGGCACAGGCATCCTCCCAAGGCACACAAAGTGCATTTCCTCCTTTCACAGTTAACTTGTCAGTTTTTAGTGTCTGACGTCTGTCATTCCAGTGTCCCATCCGTGGCCGGCAGTGCCTCTCGGAGTCCACTTCCAAGCCCTACAGCCCGATTTGGAGGTCTGGAGCCCCTGCTCCAGGCTCACCACATGCGTTTTCTGCCCAGAAAGGGCCTGAGCCGGGGTGGCCTCCTGGGCTTCTCTGTTCTGGGTCATTTCAGCCGAGATTGCTGGAAGTCCCTGTTCTAAGACAAAATGCTCCATGATTCATAGTGGTACTTTCTGCCCAAATTCTGGCTCATGGGCTGTCCTACCTGCCAGCTGTGCTCACTGGGCCAGAGGCCCTCAGCTTCCCTGACCACCCACCGGCTGGAAGTGACTGCAGCCACCCCTGGGAGAGCCGAGACCCCTGCATGCGGAGGGCACACCCCAGGAAGGATGCGGACTAAGTCACTGAACTTTTAAGTCACTTGCAGATGCCCCATGCGCATGGTCCTGCTGGCGATTTGAGATACACCTGGGGTCACTTGCTTGATTTTGCTTGTGATGTTTGCTTATTTCTTCAACTTTTGTTTTATAACAACATGAAAACAAAGCTCTGTGCTTCCAAAGTCGTCTACAAGATGACACCCCTGGGCCCCCCTGTTCCGCTGCTTCTCCTGCACAAGCAAACGTTTCCCCCCCCAGATTCCTTCTTTTGTTTTGTGTGATCTAAGCAGCTGCTCTGCCAGCTTGGAGGAACTTTGGACCTGGCAGGTCTCTGCCTGCAGCTGTGTCCAGCTGCTTCTCCCTGCAGAGCCCAGTGCCCAGGCGCTGGTGGACATGGGGCATCTCAAATGTCCAGAGCGGGCTTCTGGGTGGAGAGGTCTGCCCTACCTCCCCCACCCCTGCAGGGTCACCCTGGCCAGGTGTGGCTCCCACAGTACCTCCAGTGACAGCCCCAGCAACCCACACCAGGCACCAGGCACCTCTCACCTGCAGGAGTCATGTGTTCCCTGACCCCAGGTGACCCCAGGTCCCACTGGCCTTAAGGAGGCTCTGTGGTCTGAATCCAGCCCTGTCATCTCTTCCGTTCACCGGCCCAGCAAACCTTTCATGAGGCTGAACTGTGTGCCTGCCACCACTCTTCTGGGGGCTGGGGTGCAGCAGGGAAGAGCAAATAGCCTCAGAGCTGCTGTTCTGGAGGCGGGACTGTTGCTCAACACAGCCCTTCCTTGCAGTGGGTGCTGCTAGGGTGGAGACAGAGGGTGGTGGGGAGACACCGCTGGACCCCAGGAACTGCAGAGGGGCTGACCCCAGGCTAGGGTGTGCTCAGAGCTGCCGTCTGGCCAGGCGCTCTGGCTCCCCAGTTTGGAGCTGGCTCACTGGGCACCCTTGAACCTTCCCCCCTCCATCTGTCCCCCGCAGGAGTGTGGCCTGTTACGCAAGGGGACGGTGTTGCTGGCTGACAACGTCATCTTCCCAGGAGCCCCGGAATTCCTGGCACACGTGCGAGCGAGCAGCCACTTCGAGTGCACGAGCTTCACCTCGTCCTTGGAGTACTCACAGGTGGTGGACGGCCTGGAGAAGGCCGTCTATGTGGGCCCAGGCAGGCCCTCGCCCAGCGTGGGCAGCTAGGGCGAATGGGTGTGCTCCTGCCAAACCCACTTGGGCAGCTCTGGGCCTCTCCTTAACGCGGCCCACCGGACGCCTGTGTGGCCAATGCCTGCTGACACTGTTCCTCTGCACAGCGGCTCAGGTGGGACCGGCTCACTGTGCAAAATCACTGTAGTGAGCCTGGAACATACATGTCCGTAAATCACGGCAGAGGGTACCCGTGCCAGTCATTGACCCCAACAGATCCCAATAGGCTTTCTTAGGTGGGCAGGTTCTCGGACATCATGTTAGTAGACGCTGGAAATGGGAGTAGCTGGGAACACCTGGAAATCGTCAGATGGTGCACACATAGTCTGTCCTCAAGGTCTGGGTCACCAGGTGGCGGCAGCGCCTAAGGTGGCACTGTTACCAGCTCATGCCACACTCCTGAGTTCTTCCACCCTTTTTAAAGAATGAAATGCTGCTTTACTAAAATCAGCTGTTAACCTTATATATGAGTATCACCTTTAAAAGATACTAAAATAAAAATTAAAGGTCTATTTAGATTCAGCAGATCAACTTAGTCCTTCTTTCCGACTGCTGCGTCGTGCCTTCCTCCCTTCGGGGCCCTCGGCTCAGGCACCACAGGCGGCGCCCCCCCTGCCTGGATGCCAATGCTGCGGGCTGGCCCGCACTGCTGCTCCCATCGCCAGGCCGAGGGCACCCCTCACAGTCCTATGGGGATGCGGTGGGCTGGGGTGAGCCCCTGCCCGGGGGATGGCTGTATGCCAGCCTTTGTGCCCATCTGACCAGCAAGCACTGGTGGGTCCAGGGCCCTGCAGCAGTGCTGGGCATGGTGTCTGGCACCCAGCCCCTTGGGGCCCGTGTAGAAGCACCTTCCCCGACCCCAGTAGCCTCTTCATGGAAAAGAGTAGAGTCAGACCAGCTAGGGCACCTCTGCAGGCTGCCCGGCTGGTGAGTGACAAGGCAGAGCTGGTCTGCACCCACCTGAACTCACAGCTGGCCCAAGGCCCCTGAAGGGTCGGCCCTCTGGCCAGGACCTCACCTTGGGACTCAGGGCCCAGCTAACCACCCAGGGGCAAGCCCACCGCTGTGTGTACGGGGACCACAGCGAGCCTGGGGAAGCACCCGTGGGGCCTGGAGTGAGCTCCTGCCGTGCACAGCAGCACACACCCGGAGGCCACCTCCGCCCGCTCTCCACCTGGCCAGCAGAGCCGGCAGTGCGCGGTGCGAGATCTGAGTCGTGGAAGGTAAGAAACTCCTTTGTTGCTTTTTTTAATTTTTAAATTTTCTTACAAAAATTTCGGTGTTTACCAATACAGTCTTATTTTGGTTTTGTTTTTAATGCTTTTTGTCAGTGTTTTTCTTGTTTTTAAGTCACAAACAGCAGGCACTGACAGCAGTGCCCCGCTGCTGCTGAAAGTCTTGGAGGCATTCCTCAGGCCCCAGCAGACCGCGGCGGCCAAGGCCCCGGGCCACAGTCGCTCAGGGAGGCGCCCACTCATGCACCCAAGGGCAGGACGGGGCGAGCACAGCCTGAGCCCCTCTCGCTGCCTCCAGAGCACCTCTGTGTGGGCCGGTCCCCTTGCAGCGGCCCCCCAGCCCTGGGCCGCCTGCCGTGCAGGGTGGGCCTCAGCACCCAAGGGAATCCTTTCCACCCGCTGGAGTCCAATACCTTCCTTGCACCCCATCCCTGCCCGGCCACGAGCCCCCAGGACACACCCGCCCCACAAGCCTGGGGCACTGCACGCACAGGGGCACATGCCTGTTCCGCTGGCCCTCAGCAAAGCCAGGTGCCCTCTCTGCCGCCTCCCTGGGCCCTGCCCTGGCAGCTCCACTGGCATTCTCACGCACACACAGCACCATGTCAGTCAACAGCGAACTGAACTTCAGCCTAGGGGATTGGGAGGGAGGCAGCCAGGAGCCGGGAAGGGAGGCACGTCCAGAACGTCTGGTCCAGGTTCCAGGCGAGAGGAGCTGCCAACCCCCGCCGCCAGGGGACCCCCAAGCTCCATGGCAGGTCTGCGCAGGCCAGCCCTAGTTCCTCCTTCCCACGATCAGATCCCTAAGAACAAATGGCTGGGCTTGGGCCCTGAGGAGGGAGAGGAGAGGGGAGGGCTGAGCAGGGCAGGCCAAGCGGATGGAGGTGTGGACAAAGGTGGCTGCTGTGGGCAGTACAGGCTGACCCCAGGGCCTGGGCACCAGGGCCGATCCCCACTTGCTGGTCCTTGGGGGAGCCCTGTGCTTTAGGGCACCGGAAGGTGCTGGGGGATGATACCTGCGCTGGTCCCATCCCTGGGCCCTGATAGCAAATGCCTTAGCTGGAGCTGCAGGCGCAGAGAGGACCCTGCCCCTCAGACCCTGGCCTGTCCTTCCCTAGGATGGGCATTCAGGCCATGGAGCGCGAGGCCAGGATCTGCCGGGGAGCATCTGAGCAGTGCAGAGCGTGCAGCCAATGGAGATTAGCAAGAAGCCCCCGCCGAGTTGGGTGGGAAGTGATTGGGCGAAGAACCAGACGAGAGAACGTACCAGGCATGCAAGCTAGACCCAGGAGTCAACAGGCTGAGGCTTGGTGTCCCCCACGGCGTCCACCAGCCTGACTGCGGGCCTGCTGGGCCCGGGAGGAGGAGCCTTCCTGCAGGGGGCGGGCTGCAGCAGGTGGGTGGTGGGCAGGGGGAGTTAGAGGCAGAACAGAGCAAGTTAGAGCTGACAGGTGGGGAGGGCTGAGGGCAAGGGGAGCCGGGCTAGTGTGGCTCACACAGATGCAAAGTGACACGTGGACACACAGATGCCAGTGCACAAAGCCAGGGGACTGGCGCAGAGCAGGTGGCAGGTGCTGCCCTGGAGGTGGGCCCATAGCCACCCACATGCAGACAGGGGTGCTGATACACTGACACCCCTGGCCCTGTGCATTGTGCAGGTAGCACCCTCTGTCCTATGTCCTCTCCTTCCCAGCAGGTGTGAGCTTTGAACCACGTGCACCCAGACTGACCCTGACGTGAGGGTTGCAAGGCAGAGGGGCTGCTCCCTGGGCTTGGTCTCCAAACCCAGCTGCCCTGGGAAGTTAGCCCCACCCCAGGAGGACCACAGGCCCAGCCAAAATCTACTCTGGCCTGGGCCCCTTTTTAGACGGCCCCCACATGTGCCGCCTCCCTGGACACCTGCCCACAACCACTCACTTTCAGTGGTTCCTTCTCCGAGGCCTCCCCTGCAGGGTCGCTGCCTTGCGTCCTCCGCTCCCTCCGGCCCACAGTGGAGTATCCGTCTGTGGAGTGGGGCATGCAGGGAACTCAGGGCCAGGCACCACCTGAGAAGGTCTCAGCCCAAATGCAGGGGTCTTCTGGGACACGGTGCATCTGGAGAGAACCTCCCTGCCCCACAAGCACCATCCTGGAGGCCTGGGCCAAGTCTCCTGCACCCCCTGCCCTCCCGCCACCAATTCTCACCAACCCCACCTCACTGTGGCACAGACCTGTAACTCTCATTTGCTCTGCATGGCAGCGCAGAACCTCTAGTTTCACTTCTTCACTGGCGGACGAGGACCAGGCTGGGCACTGACCCTCCCTGGCTGCCTTGCCCTCATCCCTGAGTATCCCTAAACCAGGTCTCTTTTTTCCAAGCAGCACCTTCTTGAAGGCCCTCACAGCAGCAAACAGCAAAATCCCATGGCCCACCTCCCTCCCCGGCCCTGCCCACACTCACCTGGGCCAAGTGCCTCCATTGGGATCACATCCTGGCTGCCCGGGTTCTCCCCATCTGCAAGGCATGAGCGGGCAGCTGGCTTCGAGCAGCAGTGGGGCAGACAAGCCAGGGTACGGCTGGCCTCCGCAACCCCGGATATCCTGTTACGCCTTTGCACTGTTCTGCTAGGCACGACCACCTCTAGTTCGATGCCAGTGTGGACACCAGGGGTGGAGAGAGTCTGGGAGGCTGCGAGCCCGGAAAAGGGCCCCCACCCAGGGGCTCCTCCTGGAAGAAGGCCTGCCTCCCTCCTCCATCCCTCTCCCGTCCTGGGGCTCCCAGTGTGGAAGAGCCGCCTTAGACCCTCAAGGACGGGTCCCCACACCCTCTGCCCAGTACTCACCAAGGCTTTTGTCCACCAGGGGCAAGGTGCTGTCGTCAAAGCCTCTGGGACTCGGTGCTCCCTTGGGCCCCTTGGCAATAGTAGCAGCTGACTGGGATTGGGGTTAAAAACAGACGGGGCGGTCAGGGCCGCTCCAGCGAAGGACCCAGCCTGGCCACGTGGACGAGGGAAGGCCAGGAGGGGGCTGCACAGGCCGTACCTGGAAACGCGCCTTGGTCCAGCCTTCCTTCTGCAGGGCCCCGCGCAGCTCCCTGTAACTCCACACGGTCTGCAGCACGTGGGACGCGGCCTTCGCCTCGCGCACCGATTGGCTGCAGCCAGGCCGGGGCGGGCCCGGGTCAGCGTCCCCCGCCCCGCCGCGGGCCCCGCCCCGCCCCGCCGCGCCCCCACCCACCTGGAGGCGCCGAGCGCCACGAGCGCAGGAACGCCACGAGCCTGCAGAAGCGAGCGCGCGTTGTCCAGGCTGTCGGACACGATCTCGTGGATGGTGTTGAGCACGGCCACCACCGTGTCCTCCTCCAGGCGGATCTCGGGTCGCGCCGGTGCCTGTGCACTGCGCACATTCCGCACCAGCTCCGCCATGGCATAGCTCCCTGAGGGGCAGGGTGGGGTGTTAGGACACTGAGGGGCAGGGTGGGGTGTTAGGACACGCCTCTAGGGTCCCGGTACTCGGGCTAGGCCTCCGGACAAGTTCAGGAACACCCAAGTTACTGCCGCGGGGGCGCAGTGACGGCGGCGGGGGACGGGACCCTGAAGCCCCCCGAGCCCGCCCCGTTCCGCGGCCCAGCTCAGCCCCGCCGGCGTCCTCACCGATGAGGTCCTTATTGCGACGGTCCAGCGAGAGGTTGCGCAGGGCGATGGCGACGGCACGCACCACCTTGTCGGTCTCGGACCGCAGCAACTCCACGAGCACCGGCAGCCCCCGCTCCTTGCGCACCGTGGCGCGGATGTACGTGGCCCACTGCAGCAGCGAGGCAGGCCGCGTGCTCAGCGCGGGCGGGCTGCACTCGCCGGACACTCCCACCTAAGCCCAGGCCGCTCCTTCCGGCTGGACGTCTTCCCTCCCAAAGCCCTCCACTGGCGGCTTTGCCGCACCTCGGAGAAGCCTCCCAAAGCCCACCGCCAGGGCGCACTGCGCTCTGACCTCTTGGACCTCGGGGAGGTGCTGTGTCCCCCCAGCCTGGGCAAAGACAGGGCAGGCATCGAGGGGACGCCTGCGACCCCTCCTCTGTACCCTGCCCCCCTGCCATTTGACTCACCACCCAGGTGCCAGCGCTGAGGTTCTGTAAGGCCCCGGCAGCCGCCTCCAGGGTGTTGAAGTTCCGGCTCTCGGTGAGGAGGGAGAGGTACAGACGGACAACCTCGGGCTGGTACAGCAGCTCAAAGCCTGGGCACAGGGCACCGCAGCCCAGTCACGGGTCCCTACCCCATCCTCCCCCTCCCTGGCTGTTTAACATCAAGGTCTTCACTCCTTCCGGTCGCCGAGGAGGGAAAGCGCTCCCATGTCACAGAGGAACAGAGGCTCAGTGCGGAAGCCAAGGGTTTGGACTGCCAAAGCACCGGGACTGGGTCTGCCTGGCAGGCAAACTGGAGTAGGGAGGGCTGCGGCACAGGAGGTGGGGCTGTACAAACAGGGCCGAGCCCCTAGCAACAGGACTCAAACGCCCTGGCAATAGTCCACCCTCCCTGCCTGGAGCTGAGGCCCTGGCTTGACAGCAGAATTACACTGTGGGCTCCTGAGATGAGGGGCCAAGCCTTCGGCATCTGCCTGTGCCCAGACAAAAGCTCCCTCCCCAACCCCCACCCCACGTTTCATCCCCCAGCCCCGTGCCCCACACTCCCTCCCTGCCAGCCTCACTGGATTCCTGTTGCCCAGATGCTCCCCCCTTACGGTACTCCCCCTCCCCCGCAGGTGTCCGCATAGGGCTGTCCTGCCTCTGATGCGCCCTGCAGACCCGCTGTGGCTAGGCCCTCCCACTGCCACTCAGGCGGATTCCCAGGGCACAGAACAGTGCCGGTGCGCAGCAGGACACCCGCAGATAAGGGTGGACCCGGGGCTCCAGCCTGCCTCTGCACCGGATCTGGCTGTCCCCTCCCAGGTCCCAAACCCTCTCAAGTGACCCTGGGTTCTTTGGCCGACCCTGGAGGCGCAGCTGGCCCCTGCCCCTCACTGAGGCCATACTCCAAACCCTGCCGGTCTCGCCCATGCTGCATCTTGGCAGATGTGTGGCCTCTCTGTGCCTCTGTCCTCCCGTGTTGCCTAAGTAACCGACTGCACTGACCCTCTTTCCGACCCCTCAGCGGGTGCCCAGGGACTGAGCTCTCCTCCGGAGAGCCCCACACCTGGAGACCTCAGTTTCCCCAATGGATCCCCAAGGCCCTTCAGGCATGCTTGGTGACACAAAGCCTCACTACCTGGATGGGCCTGGGCCTGGACTCCACCCCTGCCTGCTCACCTTTGGCGGCCTCGGCGCGTTTGGGCAGGTCCAGCGTGTCAAAGTTCCGGTCCATCTCACTGTCCTTCTTCCCTGAAACAGAAGAGCAATGGGAGGTGAGGCAGGCCCTGCAGGCAGCAGATGCATGTCAAGAAGGCTGGGAACCCAAAATACACCCCCACACCCAGGACTGGACACCTAGAAGCCCAGGAAGTAGAACTCTGTTCTGCATTTTGGCAGGCAGGCCAGCCCAGAGGAGGGCAGTGGTGGCAGTGGGGCCTGGGACCTCCTGGCCGTGCCCCCAGCACCCAGGACGCATCCACCATCAGGTGCTGGGAGCTAAGGAGGTTTCTCCAAAGCCCTCTTTGCAGCTGCCAAGTACCAGTAGCCCAGACTGGGTGGAGACAGGTGTGGGCAGGGAAGGCGAGGGCTGGCAGAGCCAGGACAGGCCTGGTTGCACAAGGAGGCAGGAGCTGGTTCCCGGCTCTGCTAGCCAGGAGAGACCCACCTGCGGGCTGAGCCAGGATAGCAGCTCCATGTAACACCTGTCAGCCTCAGCCTGCACACCTCCCTGGGCGAGCCCACTACCTCTCAGCCAGCCCCCCGTCTCAGGGGGGGGCTTCTCCTTTGGAAGGCAGCAGAGATGAGTTCAGATGATATGGGGCCCCCTGCCTGCCCGGCGTCACAGGACCTCTGTGTGGTCAGTCTGAGCTACACATCACCTCATCCCATCGGAAGTGCACACTCTGCTCCCTGGTGCCCCAGGAACAGGCACACCTGGGCCCTGCCCACCCTGGGCTCGCCCCACCTCCAGCCCAGCCCTGCCTAGGCAGCTGAGTCTGAGATGACAGACGGACAACCCCTTGGCCTCCCAACCAGTCCAGGGCAGACATTCCTGCCTTTGTCATGTCCACAGTTGCCATGGAGATGGCTGCTCAGAGAAGGGACTGGGGGTGGGAAAGGGCCCTGAGGCTGGAACACCCTGCAGCTGTCATGGAGATGACTAGCAATGCGCCCACTGCACCTGGCTGCCAGGCCCGAATGTCAGGACAAACGGACTCACCTTGATGGAACCACTCCTCTAGGCAGCCGGAGGAAGCACGGGAGAGAGGAGATGAGCCTGAGCGGGCAGCACCCTCCAGCCCTCCCAGGAGGCCTCAGCTTCCCACTGCATACCCTGGGTTGAGCAGGTGGACCTTGGAATCTCACCCCAATTACTTTTGAGAGCTGAGCATCCACAAGTGGGGCAGGGAAGGGAAAACCTGGGGTCCAAACAGGCCCACACGAGTGGGGCGGGCAGGGGAGGCACGGACTCCATACGGCAGGCGTCAGCGGACACAGGTGCCCGGGACCTGGGCCAGGCAAAAGCCAGTGGGAACGGTATGGAGGAGGGGTAGGGTGCTGCCCTCAGGGCCTCTAAGGGTCCTCAGCAGGTGACATCACCTCTGGCACTTTCCACACCTGGGCCCACAGAACCCTTCCTGGAGCTGAGGGACTGGGTCCGGGCACTAGCAGAGAGGCACGCAGGCCCCCTCCTGGAGGCCCTGGAGACCCACAGCGCAGAGGAGGGAAGGCGACCCGTGCGCTGGGCACCCCTGGCAAAGCACCCTCCTTGGCTCCCTGCTTTCTTCCTGAGCGGATCGGGGGGCCTCTGGCCTCCTTGGCTGCGTGGATACGGGAGAGCTCAGAGGGTTTCTGAGAGTGGTACCCGAGTCCACCCACACACCTTTGGCCTTCTTGCCACCGAAACAGCCGGCGTCATCCCGCCTCCGGCGCTGGGAGCCAAGAGCACTGCCGGGGGGCCCAGGCTCGGCGTCCTGGTACCTGTCGGCCCCAGGCACCTCCTTGTGCACATGGTAGGACAGGTTCCGCATGATGCACACGCAGTTCTCCACCGACTGGGGGGAGAGCAGAGCTGTGGGGCAGGGCCAGGTGGGTGCAAGGCATGCCCACCCCCCTGGGATTAATGAAAACTGGCGCCGCAGCCATCGTGCACGAAAGCGACTGGGGACATTCACAGGGAGGCCTAAGCTAGGGGCCCACATGGGCAAGAAGGGTGGGACACGACGCCCACTTCACATGCCCAGAGTGCTGCCCCGGCCCGCGTGCTCGTTCCCCCGTGTCCTGCCAGGCCCCGCTCCTGCTTGTCTCCCTGACTCTGTAGGAAGCTTACCAGACTGACCCTGTCTGGGACCTGCTGGCCCCGCCGCCCCGCCCACCTTGTTATCCGTGTCCTTCCTGCCCACAGCTGACTGCAGGGCGTGCAGCAGTGCATCCACCAGCCCTTCACACTCCCGGAGCCTCCGCCGGGCCTCTGCACCATCAGAGCTCACGTTCCTGGGTAGCCAAGAGCAAGCCCTGTGACCCCTGGCCCCCACAGGAACTCCCCTGGCCCCTCCCCGGCCTTGAGGTCTTGTTTCCGTCTGCAAACAGGCTCTGATGCCATTCTGTTAGGGCCACGGCAGACGACACCAGCCTGGAGCACAGTGAACATGGAGCACCGGTGCCTGAACACTGAGACGCCAGGAGGGCATCTTCCCTGGCATGGACAGGGTGGCAGCAGGGGCTGGGGGGCTATCCCTGACTCCCAGCTAATCTATAAATGAACAGAAGTGGGTCTAGAGACCTAATCTGCACATAAGCAGTTCTGAGCCTCCTCTGAAGGAAGTGCGCAGTAGAACCACAGGGGCACATCCTGACCGACAGGCAGGCCATGGGGACCCAGGACAGCCGGTGGGGTCCCTAGGGCCTCCCAGGAGGTGGGGAGGAGGGCAGCTAGAGGCGAGGGTCCTAGCTCCTCAGCCCCTGGCTGTCACGATGACAGGAGAGCAATTCGGAGCTGGGCAAGGCTGGGGCCATGGGGTGCTGCCCAAGAGGGTGGCAGACCTGGTCCTAAGGCCACCCTTGCAGGTGACCACAGCCCCACCAGACCCCACTCTCAGGACTCAGCAGGAACTGTGACAGGGCTTGCCAGTTCCTAAGACTTGGGCAGCTAGTTGTCTTCCATGTCTGGGCACAAGGACACGGCTCTCCCCAAGTCCGCATGCAGGCCGGAGTGCCTGGCTCCTGCTTCGGGACCAGCAGCAGCCATGGGCCACCGCATGGGGCGCGCCCCCGCCCGGCCCCGCCCACACCTCAAGCAACCAGACGTATTCTTGAAGACTGTCGTCCACTCAGCATCCCGTGGCTTAGAGTCCTCATTGGGCTCGCGCTCCCAGCCCGAGTGGGGCACGATGACCTCGTGGGTCAGCGTCTGCAGGCCATGGTCAATGATGACCATCTTCAGGGGCTCGTAGGACGACAGGTTCCAGAGGGTGCCTGCAGGGCGCCATCGACCAGCCAGTGCTGACCATGGGCACTGCCCTCCCTACTTCCCCATGTGGCCCCACGCAGGACCTGCCCCCACCCTCTGTCATGTCCCAGCTCAGACCAGAAGGTGGGAAGTGACAGGAGCTGTGAGAGGTCCTGCCCACCTGCCCTGGCCCAGGTGAGACGTTGTGGCTCCCAGCTTTAGGGAGCCCCAGAGGGCCTGGTGGGGAGCTGGCAGGGAGCCTGGGGCTGGACATGGCAAGTGCGTTTGCCTCCCCACCCCTTCCCGGCCACGTGAGTTGGGGAGACTACCACTCCAGGGGCCCTCTGAGTCCCACGGGCACCATCCTCACTACTGCCCTGTTGGGGTGGGACCAGGAAGACTGAACCTGCAGCTGTCGTGGGGACTTGGGGGCATATGGGGTCAGGGCCTGCCTGAGGAGCCCAGTGCCAGCCCCACAGGCTGGAGGCAGAGGGACCAGAGACCCGTCACAGCATGCCCGCCTGACACCTGCCCCCAGCAGCACGGACTCCTGACCCCATGCGCACTTCCCCGGCCACACTCTGCTCTCCTGCCTGGGGCTTCAGGTGCCACTCACCTGTGACGAGCTCTCGGACCTCGCTGTCCCGGGCGGCGCGCAGCAGGCGCACCAGGGCAGACACCCCGCCGCAGTCCCGGATGGCGGCCTTGTTGTCAGCGTCTCGGCCATAGGACAGGTTCCGCAGGGCCCCGCAGGCCCGGCGCCGCACCTCTGCCCTTGGGTGGTCCAGCAGAGCCACGAGCAGAGGCAGCCCCCGCAGCTGCCGCACACAACGCTTGATGCCCTCGTTCTCGAAGCAGAGGTGCTGCAGGTAGGCAGCCGCGTTGGCCTTCACGGGGTCCACGGGGTGCCGCAGCATGGCCAGAACCTCCGGCAGCTCGGGGTCCCGCCAGCGTGGCTCCTTGCGGGTGCTGTCCACAGAGGGTGAGCGCCGCACCACCCGGTCCAGGCTGCCCAGGCTGCCCCGTTCCGGCTGGGCCAGAGGGGCTGCCGTAGCCAGGAAGGGGGGCCGCTCCTCCATCAGCTCCCCGCCATCATCTGCTGCATCCTCATAGGCCCTGTGCAGGGGACAGGGTGCATGAGCACCTCGGTAGCTGCCAGCCCTAACCTGTCACACCGTCCCCACAGAACCGTGCACCCAGGGAGGGTGGGGCCAGGCCTAGAACACTGGTACTCCGCCCCAGCACTGTGTAGGTGCTGAGAGTCACTCCCAACCCAGCAAGAACTGCCTCAGAGCTGGTGACAAAGCCCAGTGCCAACCAGTGGTCATTAGGGCATGCACCCTCCCAGGTGGGGAACTCACTCACTCACCACCAGGCGGAGTTCCCTGGTCCCAGACTGGACTGAACACATTTCTGTAGAACACTGTCCACTGGGGGACCCCCCTTCCCACAAGGCCCATCTCTGGCTTGTGCCAGGGTCAGCGGGGCAGGAGAGTCTGAGCACAGTTATCCTGGGGACCATCTGAGGGGCGTTTAGGCCGCCAGTCCCCCAGGGTGCAAGAGGCCCCTGTGGGTTGTCCCCATCAAACCCACGTCCTAGAGAAGGGATTGGGGCCAGGAGGGGCCAGGTGTCTCACCCAGTGTCACACAGCATAACCCAGCTCAGGAGACAGAGAAACTGAGGCTAGCAGGGGGCAGGCCCACAGGCTGTGGCAGAAAGGGCCGGGGGCCGAGGTTCTGGCTACTGAGCAAGGCTGGGGTCCCTGCTCAGAGAAACGCCCTGAGCCTCTTGGGCTCATCTGCATGGCCACCCAGGTGAAACAGGGCAGCAGACGGGTGGCACTGCCACCAGGTTCTCATGCCCCTGACCCGCAGGGAAGGTGCCCAGTGCAACTTCCATATCTCAGAGCCCTTGCTGCCGTCCTGGACACAAGCTGACGCCAATTCAAACTAATATGTGTGTGGCTAACTTAGCCCCAGAGGCTAGACTTCCTGTGGGGTACCCTGCGGTCGGGGAGTGGAAGGCAGGCTTCCTGACGGCGGCAGGATGCAGCTGTTCACCTGGCACGATGGCCCCGCCCACAGTCAGGCCTCCTCTGCGTGGCAGTGCCGTATTCAGGCTCCAGCTCCGGGCCACCGTCGTCATCGGCGGCCAGGCTGCGGGTGTCATCCTCCAAGCCATATGGCTCTGCCTGGAAGCGCTCAGGCTGGGAGCGGCCAGCTAGCGTCACAGGCTCAGGGACAGAGGGGAAGGCTTCTCGCCGGCCAGGCAACGTGAAGCAGCCATCGCCGGAGCCTGGGCCACCACGTGGGGGCCGTATGCCCAACCCACGGGACAGGCTGCCGTAGCTGGGAACGTCACGGGGCTCAGCGCCATCGGGAAAGCTGCCCCCACTGCTGAGGTAGGCTCGGGAGAGTGTGGCTGCCGGGCCGCCCCCTCTCAGCAAGAAGCGCCGGTCCAGGGGGCAGTCAGTGAAGGGGCCTAGCGGTGGGCCGCCATCCAACAGGGGTAGGCCGTCTGGGCCTACGGGCACCTGGCGCACTGTTCTAGTGGTTACTGTCTTCACAGTCTTGGTGACCTGGTGGGTTAAGTGGGTGGTTGGTGGGCTGAGCAGCCTGAGGCTTGGTCACAGCCCTGGCCTCAGTCTTCTATCTGAACAACGGGTGGCCCGGGAGGCTGGGACTTGTGCCCACACTGCAGACATGGTAATGGCTGTGGTTGCACGGCCCAGTCACGCACCTCCTGGGCCTGGCCATACCTTGGTCTCAGTGCGCCGGGTAGTGCCATCTTCCGATGTTACGATGGACACATGGGAGGTGGGCGTGCCAGGGTCCTCCTCCACCGTCACTGTCTCCTCCAGTACCTCGGGGGCCTCTGGCATCGTGGCCAGCGAGGCCTGGCTTCCCGGGCTCTGCTCCTGGCGGGGGGACAGGCCCACTGCTCACCTTGCTTGGGGTGCAGTGCTCGGCAGAGTGCCTCCTTCCCTGCCCCAGAGCCCAGCAACCCAGGGCCCATTTCAGCTCCAGCTGGTGAGGGCAGCAGCATGCTCCTGCCTGAACACCAAGGGGCTGACCTCACCCCGGGAGCCCCAGGAGCTGGCCCCCACGCTGGCCCCCAGCAGTGCAGCCTTGGGCAGCCCTTAGTTTGGAACTAAGGCCTGGCTGTGGCAGGCTCCTTAGGGCCCAAGGAGGCCGGATGGGACCTGCTCTCCTGACATCACTTGCTACCCCTGGGTGGCCCTCCTGGTGTCCTGAGCCTCCTTCTGCCCCAGCCCAGAAACCTTGAGTGCAGAGGCCTTGGGGTGGCAGTTTTGGCAATGCTCACCAACTCTGTGGCCACACCCAGGCTCCCGCTGTCCCCAAGGCCAGCTAGACACCCGTGCAGGACAGAAATACCCAGTTCCCAGAATGCCCTGTGCACTCAAGCACCAAATTACCCTCACTCTTCTGGCCTGGACACTCCTGGGGTATTGAGTGGGCACAGCCTGACTCTACCTTGCTTGGCCTAGTGCCCCTCCACTGAGACCCGGGGTGTCGGATCAGAGCCCAGAGATGGTAGATTCAGGCTCAGGGTCCCACTTGATCTGACAGGAACCCTGACCCTGAGAGCCTCTTCCCATACCCCCACCCGTCCCCCCAGCCCTTACCCTCAGCTCGTGACCACCTGCTGCCCGCCTGGCCATCAATGCTGCAGGTAACCTTGGTGGAATTTCAGGCAAGATGGCTCCAGAGAGAGGCCCTTCTAAGGCCTACACGCCACCTGGCCAGACTTGCCAATGGAAACCGAGGCTCACAGAGGATAAGCTGGCTCCCAGCTGAGCTGGACCAGACCCCTACTGTGCTGAGTGGCACAGGGACCTGAGAGTTATGTCTACCCTTGGGCCTCTGCCCACATGGGTCCTCTGCCCTGTGCTGTATCTAGGATCAGCATCTTGCCAGGACGGGTGGAGGCGGAAACCCAAGCTGTGGTGGGCGGGTGAGGGGAGGAGCACACTCCTGGGTGGCCAGGGATGGGTCAGCAGCAGGACACCAGGCCCCATGCTCTGTGGAACAGGTCTCCCACCTGGGCCTCAGGCCCCCGAGGCCTGCATGAACTCTGAGCTGAAAGCCAGAAAGGCCAACAGCTCACAGAAGCATCTGCCTGGCATCAGAGTCCTATTCTACTCAGTCCCTGAGCCTGGGAGGTGTGCTAGGCCAGGGGTCGAGAGCCGCCCTCAGGGCCTGCCTCCTTCAAGAAGTGTTAATGGTGTGGAGTCTCCACAGGTTGGAGTCCTGACCTGGAGGAATGCTTGACCCCCACTTTCTGCACGAGTGTTGAGGTTCTGGGCTCCAGGAAGACACCTGCACCAACATGTTAGGGCAGGTGCACCCCTTGGGCTCTAGTGACACCAGAAGAGATCACAGAAGGGGAGCCTGGGTGGACGATATATGAGTTTATAAAAGGGAAACAGGTGACAGAGGGAACGGTATTCACCCAGAACTTCACAAACTGCTAACTGGGGACTTTCAGGCACCCACACAAAGGATTTATGATGCTTTTCAGCCACTCGGGTTGTAGCCTTGGCCGGCACCCTCTCAGTCTCGGGATGCAGGTGGAATGCCTGTTAGGGACCCAGCCATTGGGGTGGCTCTGGCTCTTCTCTGAAGGCGATGGGGAGCCAAGACGATTCCAGCACACGAGGTTCAGGGACACCCTGTCACTGCTGGGACCTCGGCTGCCCCGTCTGTATTTGGCAGGCACTAAGCTCTCGGCAGGACCCTGGGGGGCCAGACAGAGGGGCCTGGGGCCACGCCCTGGTGGCGGCAAGTGTTGGGGAGGGGCCAGGAGCAAGACTGACATGAGGGGGCCAGGACGCTGGCCAGGGCACTGCCAGAGGGATTCAGCCCTCAGTAGGCTTCCATACATTTGCATACATTAACACACTCAGAGGAGAGCCCCTACTCCCTGGGTAGGCACTGGGGGTGGGGGTGTAGAAGGGGATGCATCCTGAGGCCCACTTATTCTCACTCCTGCCTGTGGTTTGGGTCTGACACAACGCAGTCGGGAAGTGAGAAAATGGGGGTCGAGGAGTGCCAGGATTCCCAAGACCTGGTAGTCCCACAGCGTTGCCCACCTACACCCAGCATGGGCAGCCTGGCAGCCAGATCCCCAGGCCCCAAGGGCCCTTGCTGGCAAATGACCTCAAGGAGCTAAAAATGGGTGATGACTTCACCCGGGCAGGCAGGCAGGCAGAAGCATGAGTCAGCTGGTGATCATGAGAAGGCCTGGCCCCTGTTACACATGCCTGGGCACACACAGGCAGACAGGGATCCTGGACACATACATGTACAGGTACCTGGTACCCCAGCAGGGACACGTGCACTTGTGTGAGCACGCAGCCTGGCCCACAGGCCTAAGCACATCAGTTTACATGCTTCCTAATGTCACCAGTGCACACTGCCCACCGTGCCCGTAGGTCTCGCATGTGTGCACACACACCCATTGCCACCTCCAGTCTTCCACCCAGGTCTCCATTCCCTCAACCACCCACTCGGGTGTCCCCTATGTGCATCTCAGAGCTGGATGGAAGAAACGAGCCTCAGATTGGGAGAGGGCCAAGGTCAATCTGGGGCTCTGGCCTCTGTAACATCTCTGGGGTGGGGATGTGGAATTGTGGCCTGACAACCAACAGGCCTTCAAAACAGGTCGCTGACCCAGGGTGCCTGCATCCTCATCTGGCCTCAAAACCCTATTCTAGGACCCCGTGTCCATATCCACCCACCCAGGCTGGCTCACCCGCAGGGACCCCTGACTCCACCTCCTCCTGTACCCCAGACATGTACATTAGCCTGGCACACCACCCCCAGCCCTTCCTACACCCCAAATCCTGCCAAGTCCTGTCAACTATCTCCCGTCACCCTTCCCAGCCCTGACCTTATCCTTGCCACTCGCTGGGGCCACTGTCCAACCTCCCATTATCTACCCCCAGGACCCAATCCCATCCTATGGCACTCCCACCCATGGTCCACCTGGTCCAAGGCCCTGGGCCTGGCTGAGAGGAGCTGCTGTCAGGCCTGGGGTTTCCCGTGAGCTCCCTTGAACTTGGACGGCCCTGGCGCAGGACTCTGGGCCTGGGCTGGAGTGGCCAGTACCTCAGAAAGTGGGCCCAACCACCTGTTGTTGCTCTCAAGAGGATCCCCAGGGGCACAGAGCTGAGCCCAGTGAGAGAGCCCTGGGACTGTCACACCCCAGGGCCTCAGCTTCCTCATCCGGAAACGGGGAGTAGCCAGGGAGTCCAGGCCACAGAAAAAGCAGGACACTGCCATTCCCACCTTTGTGGTAGATTTAAGGAATGTGGGGAATAGAGAAGTCATGTGTGAACCAACACACAGAGGGCTGGCACCTGGGCAAAGGCCCACAACAGCCTCTGGGATGCGTGTGGGAATGGCAGAGGGAAGGGACAGAAGAAACAGGCCAAACTGTAGCGGGGACGGCGGGACCGAACCAGGGCCCAGAGGTGTGAACCAGCCTCACCCCTGGTGCCTGATAAATGAGCACATGGGATCCCACGCCTGGCTCCGACAAGCCCCGGTCCAAGCACCCAGGGTACAGATGGCTGCCGCTGGATGAATGAAACGCAGAGTGGAGGGATGAGAGCCGTCCCCACCCAGAATGGCCAGCCCAGACGGAATCTCCTGTCAAGAGACAGACGTCCCCCTCCCCTGGCTGCCACAGCCTCTGCCGACCCTGGTGGATGACAGGGAGCTCAGCCCTCTGGAGCAGAAGCCCACCTGCTAGCGTGCAGCCCCACGTTGGGGGGCTGAGAGGTCGTGGGGCAGTGGGTGCCCAGAAGACGAAGACGAGGAGAGCAGGCTTATGGGAGCTAAGAGGGCTGGCTGTCACCCAGCCCAGCTTCCCCAAGCCCTGCCCGTGTCCATCAGGCACACGGGGGCCCCAGACCTCCGGGCTTCCCTGACTGGCCCCTCCATCTCTGAGGCAGGCAGTGGCCAGACCCTAGGGGTCACACCAGGGATACCCAGCAGGCAGGTGTGGAGAGACCTACTTCCCACCACAAGGAGCTGGGGGTCGCTCCTCCTCCACTCGGCCTCAGTCTCCCTGCCTGTCACTGCACCCCGCCTCCCCAACCCGAGCAAGAGTGCGAGCTGTGCACCCCCCAACCCCGTACTGGGAGGCTGGCTGCGCCCGGGTATTCCCAGGAGACGCTCTCCCACCTCTGCACGTGAACAGGGCTGTCACCCACCCCTCCCCTCACGTGCACTGCCAGGCAGACGGGGCTTCCATTAAAGCTCCGGAAGCTCCTTCGCAGGTCCCCAGAGGCGGAGCCCGCGCTGGGATAGGGGAGGGGGGGCCCGGCGAATGCCCAGGGAATAGGAGGCCCAGCCGGGCTGCCCTCTGCAGACTCGGCCTCCCTCCTGCACCGGCGGGGCTGCTCGGAAGGGCCTTCACCCACCACCCCCGCCCCAGGCACCTGTCCTGGTTGCTGGCCGGGGGCGGCGGCGGTGCGCCCAGACAGGTCCCGGCCCCGCTGCCCGCGCCCGCCCGGAGACCCCCCACGACCCCGCCCCGCTCACTCCCCCGCCCTGCCCGGCCCCGGGGTCGAACGCGCCCGCCCGGAGCGCGGACAATAGCTGCCTCCGGCCGGCGGCTCCGTGGAACAAAAGCGGGTCCTCCCGGGAAGGCCGGTGCCCCGCCCTCCGCCGCCGGGCCCCTGGGACGCGGCCCTCTCGCCCGGGACCAAGTACCCTCCAACCTGTCTGAGTTCGGCTGGCATCGGGCCGGGCTCCCGGTGGGGCGGGGGCGCGGGCCGGAGGGAAGGCGGCGGACGGACCGGGTTCGGCTCCGGCGCCTCGAACGCCGGGGCTCCGCAGACCCGCTCCCCGCGGGGGCGGATCTGGCGGCGGTCACGGCGAGCAGCCAATCGGGCGGGGCCGCGCCCAGGCGGGGCGGGGCGGCGGCCTAGGGGGCGGGGCCCTGCAGCCGGGGCGGGGCGGGGGTCGCCCTCAGTCCCCGCAGCGGGCCTGTGCTCCGCGTCCCTCCCCCGCGCCTCCCTGCTGGGGTCACATTTTCCCGCCGAGTGACCCTGGCCAAGCACTCCTTCCCAGGCGTCGGTTAGCGTCCAGGGGCAGAGCTCACACGCCCCTTCCCCTGCAGGGCAGCGGGGCAGTTCTGGCAGAACAGCTGCCAGTGTGGCTGTGGGCAGAGCGCAAGGCCACCCTCACTGGCACAAGATACCCATCCCGGCTGCGACTCGGTTTCTCCTTGCTGTGAGATGGGGCCGATGAGACAGATGGCCCCCTCCCTCGGCTCCCACAGCCTCTGCCAGCCCTCCATGTGGGTGCTGCTGGCCTCCCAGATCAGCCCCAGGACCTTGCCCACCCCTAACACGCCCCCACCTCAGTAAGTGTCCCTGCAGAGCCCAGCAGGACGCAGCAAGCAGCCCTGTACTGACCCGCTTTGCCTTGGGTTCTTCCCATCAAGACACAGAGGCCCAGGGTCTCTCCACCCTGGGTGGGGGGGTCAGAGCGGCCCGTTAATCAGGGCTCCTTCAGCCAGGTGCACCCCACCCCCAGCAGCCTGATGTACAGGGGCAGCCACCCTGGAGAGCCTGTCTCTTGGAGGGAAACGGATTCTGGGGAAGGGCTGGGGCTGTCCTGGGTCATCACCCACAGTGGAAAGCCAGTGGCTCTCCCATCACGAGCAAGCAGACCAGGCTCTGAGATGAACAGAGGTGAGGCTGGCCCAAGGAGGTTCAGCGGGTCAGTCAGGAGCAGGGCCGGGGGCCTGGCCAGAAAACCAAGTCACCCCTGGGGCTGCTCTTCCTCCACAACATGCCACATACATTGGCCATGCAGCCAGCAAGCTCAACCACTCTGGGTGTCCACTACATGCCTGTCGAGCCTCAGTTTCCCCACCTGCATAGGGGTGAGTTGCCCTGACCACTGGCCCCTTGTGTCTTCCATCCACGGCTGCCCTAGTGGAGCCACCTGGGGCAAGAGGCCTGGACCACTGCCCTCAGGGAACTTGACCTGAATGCTTACATTTGGGCTATTTCTGTCTTCTCCCAAAATTACCAGCTGCTAGTGCCCCAGCCACACAACCATCTTGGCCTAGCCTGAGGATGACCAGGTCCCTAAAGGTGCCCCCACATGCACACTGGGTGAGAGCCAGTCTTGCTCCGGTCAGGGGCCTTTGAGGAAGGACCCTTCCTCCCGGAGGACGAAGGGCAGGCGGCCAGGACCGTGGGACAGCCTGGGGCCCACAGCAGCAGGAGCCCAGCCCCTCGACTGCCTAGGCCTAGCTCCCTGCCTTGCCACTGGTCCCCAAGATTTGCACACCGGACCCCAGCTAAAACACTGAGTGTCAGCAGCTCCAGGCAGCCCGGGGGCTCAGCAGGTAGGTCACTAGGCAGCTCCTGCAGAGATGAACGTGGGTATCAGGTTTGGCATCAATGCTGCCAGGCCTGATCAGCAGGATGTGGCCCCACCTCCCCGAGTGCCCAACAGCCCTGCCAGTTCAGCCACTGCCCTGAGAACAGAAAACCAAGGGCAGGCGGGGAGGGCTTTGGGTGGGAGGGGTGGTGGGTAGGGAAGTGTGCTGGCCCGAGGTCTTCAGTCCCCAGCTCTCAGGAGGCCAGGGCAGCTCCAGGCTACGGAAACATCTTCCCACAAGGGCGCTGACCCTTGGTGGGGACATTGATCCTCAGCCATGCCCTCCGGGGTAGAGGCTATAGCCCTTCCGGCCTGGGAAGGATAGAGTGCCTGGCATCTGAGGGGTGGCCCTGGGGGTCACTGGCTGCCACTGTCCCCATGTGGCCCTCTGGGCTGTTCCACTCCCCCCGCCAAGTTTGTGGGTGCAGGCCTCACCCTCTGGAGTGCCTGAGGTCCAGGAGGTAGGGGTGGCCACTGCACCCATACCTACCCTGCCTCAGTCCTGGCCTCTGTGGACTGACCCACCTCAGCAGCCGGGGGTTTGGAAAGACAGTGGCAACAGTGAGGGGCATGCAGGGCAGACCCCAACCCAAGGCCCTTCCCTCCTCCCAGCTCCTAGGGCAGCTCCACCCACCTGCGCCTTGCCTGGGGCCTCAGTCAGTAACAGGGACCGACATGACACCACCGAACTCCAGGTCTCCCACATTTCTTTTTCTGCTCCCACCACTCCAGAAGTGGCCTCTGGCTGCCCACCTGCAGGTGAGGTGCCAGGCATGGTACGTGGTAGGAGGAAGCCAGGTGGTCTGACTCCTGAGTCACCCCAGCTTTAGAGTTCTCACAGCCTGGCCACAGGGCCAACAGGCCTCCACACCTCCTGGGGCTGCACAGAGGCTCAAGCCCAGGCTGAGGGCAACGGCCCATGGAAACTGAGGCCCCCAAGTCACCCTCTGAGCTGCAGGCAGAGCCCAGGGCCTTGCTCAAGCCCTCCCCTGGGGCTCACCCACTGATGTATGTGATGAAGGACCCCGTGGCTAGCAGCACCCATAGTGTCGCCAGGCTGACCACACAGCTTCCCAGAACAGGCTCACCTGAGTGAAGGCTGCTATTCTGAGGGTCCGGCTGTTTTCTGCCCACTCAACACATGGTGCCCTACACACTCAAGCGGGACTTCTGACCCCCTTGGGCCCCCTCCCTAGAGGCCCCAGGAGGTTTGGCAATAAGCCACTGCACGCTGGCTTGTGGTCCACCAGGGCTCTTGTTTCCCCACTTGGACATTTTCACACTTCCTGAGTTATTGGCCCTTACCTGCAGGACCAGCTGTTGCCAGGCCATCGGTACGGGCTGCCCACTGCCCACACCAGGCTGCTGGGCGCGCTCCAGCTGCAAGGCCACATGGCGCCGCTCCTGCTCCAGTGCCCGTGTCAGTCGCTCGAAGCGCGCCTCCTGCTCCTTCACCGAGGCCAGGATGCTGGCGGCGGAGTGCACGTTGCAGTCCTCCATGACCAGGATGCCCACCGACTGCAGGCAAAGCAGAGCAAGGTCAGGGTGGGGCTGGCATGGAGGCCTGGGGAGGCCACCATGGGCCCCCTGCCCACCCCACTCACAGATCATCCGACTCACTCCCAGACTGGAACATCCAGCTCTCTGGAGAGAAGCTGCATTGATTAAATTCTAAATTAAAAGCCATTAATCCAAGGCCGGCCGGAAGCAGCCAGCTCCCTCCCTGCAGGGTGTGGGGCTCTGGCCCAGGCTGCCCTGCTTCCTGCCAGGCCCAGCAGAACCACGACTGTGGGCGTCCCAGAGCCTGATGGGAAGGGAAGGGAAGGGCATGGAGTCCTCGTCACGCCAGTCCCTGTGGTCCCAGCTCTCAGACCCTTCAGGCACTGAGAACAGGCCAGCTCACCCCCGTCTCATGGGGCCAGCACAAGCCCATCTCACCGCAGGGAGCGCTGGGGCCCAGAGAAGGCAGGGAGCAAGCTGGTGCACCAGCAGGCAGGGAGCGAGAAGCCTCCCCACTGCTCCCAAGTGCCTGGGACACCGAGGCAGGCGTGGGGATGACGCCAGCCTCAAGACCAGTAGCCGAGCCTCCACTTGCAGCCATGGTGTCTAGGAATCAGGATGCTGACCACCCACTTGGGCAGAGCGAAAACCCAGCACAGCCTGGTTTGACGTTCCATGCGTGCAAGTGGCGCGTGTGCCTGATGCCTGATCCAGAGGGAGACTGAGGGCAGGGTCCAGGGGTCCAAGGCCCAGCGTGCAGAGAGCGCTCCCGTAGCCCCAGGGGAGTGGGTGGGGACGGTGGGGGCTTGGCAGCTGCAATAACAAGGCCGTGCTTTTCCTCACTTGCTCCTTGGCCACCCAGCAAGTTTGTTTTTCATGGGCAATAACAAGCCAAGTCTGTGGCACTCAGACCCAGGTGCACCACAGTGGCGGGCGCAGGCCAGGAGGCTGCAATGCTGGGCACTCCATGTGCGGCGCGGCACCCAGTGCCGTTCAGGACCTCCTCCTGGCCTGACCCATGCCAGCCTGCTAAGGCCAACTCAGCCGGCCCCCTCACCCCTGCACCTGTGAGGGGCTTGAGCTTGAAGACACAACTCAATGGGTGGCACCCCCAAAGCTCGCTGACCCGGGGGAGAGCCCCAGAGAGGAAGGGTCAGTGCTGGGTACAGCCACACCAGGCTGGACCAGGGCCACACTGGGGGACATGGGTGCACCTCAAGGGGAAAGAGCACCACAGGGCCCAGCCTGCTATGACAGCCAGGGAAGCCACAGCCCAGCAAAGCCAGCAGCCAGCACAGTACCCGCAGGCTGTGCTCCATCTCCCAGCACCCGTCGCATAAATACAACTGTCAGCGTGACCTCTCAGAGGCACAGTAAGTCAGCTCGGCTAGAAGAACGAGCCCAGCTCCTGCCGGGAGAGGTGGTGGCTGTCACCAGGGTGGGTGGGTGGGTGAGGCATAGACTGGGTCCTCTGGCCAGCAGGGAAGGAGGAATAAACAGTGTGACACGCCCATGACTGTGGGCACACAGCCCTGCATGCAGGTCCCAGACACACTCAGAGCCAGCAGCCACTAGGGGTGATGCCAGGCCTTGTACAGGGATGGGATCTGCCTCCCTGAGGGCAGCACAGGGCAGGGCCAGGGCAGAGCCAGGTCATCAGAGCCCCTTGGCTGCAGCTTGGGCCCTTCTCAGCTGAGCCTTGGGGCCCCAGGTCACATGCTGCCCCTGGGGGAACAGGTGTCCTGGGAGGTGCTGATCAGATGCCTGGGCAGCTGCCAGCCCCGTGGCCAGAAGGTGGCTTCCTCCCCACCTGGTTCCCAGACGTGGGGTAACTGACCGACTCAGGCTTCCCCTCCCCCACCTGACAGAACACGTCTGGGCTGCTGACTCTAAGGACAGCGGGACAGCGGGCAGCCTCAGCCCCGGCTTCCCTGCCCTGGGCCCTCTGCACACCCCAAATTTGGGGTCCAAGGAGTTCTCCCCAGCTGTGGCTGGGGCCCCGGAATAATGTGGCCTCAGTGAAAAAGTGCCCAAACCCCACATTGGCCTTCCCATCACCCAGTTCTCTCAGCTGGAGCTGAATGACTGTGTGTCTCCCAGGAGGCACCCCCAGATGCCCACCAGCTTTGGGGTAGAGTACCCCACAGCCACCCACAGGAGAGTAGAGACCCTGTATCTGGGGCCCATGCCCTCTGCCTTGGTCCGAGAGCACACGCCTCCATTGGCCTGAGGGTGGGGGCAGCCTGGTCACATGGGTGTCTGCAGGCAGCCCCCAGATGTGCAGGAGGCAGGGTGCTGGCCAGGGGCATGTGGGAAACAGGGGAGATGCAGGCCCACTTCCCTCCGTGGCGGCCTTCCTGGATCCAGGGACACTGCCAGCACAAGGGGCACCTGCAGGCGCAGGTGCGCCAGGCCAGCACTCCAGAGGGCAGTTTTTCTGACGGTAACTCAAAACACTGTTTTTATATTAAAACAATAAATACGTGACGACATGGAAGGCAAGTTGTGCATTAATTTTTAAGACCGACCATGAGGCCTCAAAGACGTTCTCCAGCTGGATGTCAGATCTTCAGTGGGGTAGGCACCAGCCTGACTCCGGCCGTGGCCCCAGGGCCCTGAGGGGGCGAGGAAGGCATGCGGCGGGGCCTCAGCTGACCCTGGCTCTCCTCTGCCAGGGCCGTCACAGCCTCTGTTCACCTGGGAGGTGGGCCACATGCTGCCTGCCAGGCAGACCCCTCACGACCCCACCCAGACCCAGCCACCAGCTTTGCCAGTCCTTGGTGGAGACCCCTTCTTGCCACGTGTGCCCGCCCACCTGCTGCATGGAGTTGATTTAGCAGAGAGACAGGAGCAAACAGGCCATCCAGAGACAGCCTCACCTGTTCTGGGTCGGGAGTCAGGGTGGTCGATCTGGGGAAAGTCTGTCCAGGTCTGGGTACCCCAGGAGTGACCCCAGAGGGATGGACAGGTGGCGGATGGGGCACGGAAGGACAGGAGGCTGGATGAATGAGCGAATGACGTGCGGCCGGGAGGGTGACTCGGTGGTGTGAGACGGTCAGGTAGCTGGGGGCACATCTGAACGGACAGCTGGGTGGGTGGATGGGCAAGCACAGGGCTCTGAGGTACTACCAGTGGAGAGAGCCCTGGCCCTGAGCCCTCGGGGCACAACCGTGGCCAACACTCACCCCGCCAGGAAAGCAAAGGCACCATCAGAGCAACTAGGGGAGGAGCTGGCCCTTCCCCAAAACCTCAGCCCACATCTGCTGTCTTCCTGCTGACCCAGACATTCTTGTTCAGGAGTCCAGCCAAACCCCACTCCAGAAAATCAAATTATGGTGCCTGAGTCCAATCTGGGTTGAGGAATTAGAGGCATTTCCTAAGGGTCAGGCCGGCAGGGGAGGCATGCAAGAGGCCTGGGCTCCAGTCCTAACCCCTTGCCGGCCATCTGCTGGCAGACTGCCTGCTGCCCCAAAGAGGGGAGAGAGGGGCTGATCACAGTCAAGACTCCTTCTGCCTCCCACCATCCCCGCCCATCTAGGCAGGGAGGAAAGGTGCCAGCAGGAGCAGAAGCCAGGCCCAGGGGCAGAAGCCCCCTCTGCCTGGGAGGGCATCACATCCTCTGCCCTTGGCACTGCCTGCATGGAGACTTGCTCCCTACACCCCTGGCAGGCCTCACGGGGGTCCACTTTTAACGTCGCCCCTATTACGATCAGATGGTGCCCACAACCACAGGGGTAGCTTCCAGCCAAGCCCACAGGGATGGGCACTGAGCCACGGCTGCAGACAGGGCCAGAACAGGAGGCCTGGGGCATGGGTTCCCACAGGGCAGAGCCCGTGTCTGTCTGTCCGTCCCAGCCAGGACCACGGGCTCTCTTGAAGTGAGGCGAGAGCCTGCAGGGCCTGGGAGGGAAGAGGCTGCTCTCAGCCTGAATGCCACAGAAGAAACTGCCAGGCACGAAGGAAGGGCTCAGTTTTGTGAGAATGAAACATTTCTGTTTACCCAAAAACAAACCTCCATGAATTGTGATTATGGTTGTTTTTTTTCCAAAGAGATGTCATTTAGAGCAATATACGCAGTGAGCATTTCAGATGAAAAACAAATGATGGCTTTACTTCTAGAGGTGACTTCACTTCAGCAAGAGCTGGTGAGGGGCGCGTGGGCACGAGGCACACCAGGGTCCCCACTTCCCTGCATCTGTAGTTCTCTGTAACAGGAAGTTGGAGGAAGAGGCGTAAAGACACCCAGGAGGTGACAGACACACTGGGGTCAGGTCCTGGTAACACCCACAGGGCAGGGACACCCTTTAGCTCCAGATGTTCTCCAATCAGTAAGGAAAAAACAAAACCCAGCTCAGTGGGTAAAGGTCACCAACAAGGGCTGTGGCCAGAGATAAGATGCTAAGCAGTGCATGGGAACCATCATGCGCACCTACATGCCCTGAAATAAGACTAGAAGGCAAGGCTCTCAAGTGTCAGTGGTGCTGGAGGAGGAGCCCATGTTCTGGGGGCACAAGCTTCTCCTCCCAGCAGAGTGGAAGCTGCCAGCCCCAGCAGTGGACAGGACAGCAGGGAGGCCAGCCAGGGAATTCAGCTCCCCAGTGCCGCCTGCCCGCCCACCCGCCTGCCAGCCGGCCAAGGGAAGCTGCGGGATTTCAGGGAGCTGGGAGAGCCGTGATTAGATTCAGCCTGGAAATTAGATTTCCCCACAGAGGAGATGCCCCACTACACCAGACCAGACACCGCGGTGAGGGTTGGAGTGGACTGCAATGGACCCTCAGTGACCTTCTCCTGCCCCCAGGCTGCCCACACAGACACCCAGCAGCACACACTGCAAGGACAACGGTCTGGGATGCTCTTCCCAAGGGGTCTTGCCCTGTGCTAATGGGGCACCCTGGGCCAGGGTAGGCCAGGCCAAGCAGCACTGGTCAGCCCCATGGCAGGGGCTGCTGGGCAGGGGGTCCAGGGACCCAGGGGCTTTGGGTCCTGATGCTGATGTGGGAGGGTGGGGGTCAGGTCAA